TTGTTCAAATTAATTTGTTTTTAGAACTTGGGGTGGGGTGGTAGACAGTCTCTTTAGTCTAGTTTAAGTTTTATCTGTTAGAACTTAGAAGCATTAGAGTTTTCGGGGTCAATTTTATCTCCAAATCTTTCACATTGTTAGTGATCACTGGGTGAGCAGCGGAGTCACTATAGGAGGCGGCTCCGATCTCTGGCATCACTGAAAGCTGCGGTCACTGGGCAACAATGAAATTGGACCCAGGGTAGTTACCTAGGGTAAAGTCACCGGGGAGCGTAATTTTGTAATATACATGAAAGCTTACCTGTAAACCACTAGCGTTATTATAAAGAGAAATGAGAGCTAAGAGTTAGAGAGATAGTAATCTAATATTAATGAATTCAAAATCGTTTACATATGTTTCAAGGGGGTATTTGTAATTGTACTAAATGAGCGGTGCATTAAATACATGTATACGTGTAAATTAATTTATGGACGATTACAGAGCGAGAGTCATGTGGCGCTTCAGAAAGCGGCACAAGCCATTCTCGGTTGAGTATATGTCTTCAGTTACCTGATGTGTGTGTGCCACTCCTTGATTTTTTCTAGTCTTTGAGCTATTATGTCTAGGATATATGTCTCTGGACGAGGTGTCACTAGTCGAGGTGACTAGTACGGACAACGATCTTGATCCAGTGTTATGTGTTATTTTTGCTTGGTTTTGGTTACTCTATTATGTGTGTACTTACTTATTTGGCAGTTAGATGAATTTGGACCGCTTGTGTATCTTAGAGTATGTGGGTTATGACTTATGAGCCTAAGCCCATAAAATACGTAGTACTTTATGGTAATATTTATGTCAAAATTACAATTAAGAATTGATTTTTATACTCCCTCCGTCCCATAAAATAAGTCTCATTTCAATCTGGATCGGATTTTAAGAAAGTGAGAATAAAGTGGAAATGTATGGTTGTGGTTGGGTAAGAAAAAGGTAAATGAATGTTAGCCACACAAACTTTCCAAAAAAGGAAATGACAATAATTTTTTGGAACGACCCAAAAAGGAAAATGAGACTTATTTTATGGGACGGAGGGAGTACATAAGACACCAGAATGAAACAAATCAGGAGTGAGCACGACTATCACACAACTACTAAACAATTACTACCCCGTATTACATTATCAATGTCATTACATTTACCATTTTCATTTCAAATTTAGAATATAACAACACACAATCCGTTTGTACGGCGGTGCTTATACCGTGGGATCGGTGCATGGTGAGCACCATGCACCCTTTGTTATTTTCTATTTCTCCTTTTCTTAAAATTGTCAATAATTTTTTTTATTTTTGATCTGATTTTTATAAAAATTATATCAATTTTTTATTTTTATTTTTCATGATCTTTCAAATGAGACCAATATTGCCTATGTAATTTTAATTTTTTACATTCATACATTTTTTGTAATATATTTTTATATGCATACACTTTTTCAATAATATATTTTTTATCACTTTTATATGATTTTAGAGGTTTTTAAGATATTGAGTTTGTTTATTTTGCTTCTAGCTTGGAGTTACATTTGATAATATACGAAGTTACATCATCTTATACTCCAGTTACAAGTTATTATGTGTGAGTTACATCTTGCTATACACGAGTTACATACTTTGATGCGAGAGTTACATGTAATTATGTGTGAGTTACATCTTGTTATACACGAGTTACATACATTTATGCGCGAGTTACATGTAATTATGAGTGAGTTATATCTAATTATTTGTGATTTTTTACTTATCATTATCTCGAACTAATTCAATTATAAATGAATTAATTTTTTTCTTTGCCAATTTAATACAAAATTTTATTAATCCACATAAAATAAGTATATTGTATTTCATATTCATACACTATTTTTCAAATGATAATAATGAAAGATGTAGCAGTGGTTTATTTCATGGTGTAACTCACATACAGTAAGATGTAACTCGTGTATATTAAGATGTAACTCGCGTACAATAAGATGTAACTCGCGCAGAAGAAGATGTAACTTCATGATATATTATCAAATGTAACTTCAAAATAATTTGTTAAAATTACATAAGCAATATTGGTCTCTTTGATAGATCATGAAAAATAAAAAAAATTGATACAAAATTTATAAAAATCAGATATCAAATAAAAAAGTTATTACAATTTTTAACAATAAAACAAATAAAAAAAATGAATGCTGCGTCGTTTTGGGATCGGGCGCACCATCCTCATGGTGCGCCGATCCCAGGATATAAACTGCGTTTGTATGGGGCATAAGAAAGGGGAAATAAATAGTGCCGATGCTAAAAAGACACCGGCTTTCTGCATGGTGTGGTGTCGCTGCTTTCCGGCATGGCAAAGCCTAATTCGAATAGCGATATTGGAGCGACAAGGAGGGCTGAGTAAGTTCAAGTTACGCTGGCTCTTTTGTAGTTTTGCATCATTTTTCCTGGATTATTTCCGGAGGTTTTGGTCTCCATCTTTTGTGGGGAAGGTTTTTCTCCTCGTCGGTGCAAACCTGGTCGGGTGTTTCTTTTTGTTCTAGCTGAACTATGGGGTGCGTAAGCTGGAATTGCCGAGGGTTAGGGAACCTGGCCACCGTACAGGTTTTGGCAGATGTTGTTTCGACTCATCATCCCTCTATGGGTTTCTTGATGGAGACATTGGCCGAGTGTCCAAAGGTGGAAGCCGTACGGAAGTCTCTGGGATTCCAACATGCTTTCACTGTGAGCTGTGAAGGTCGGAGTGGGGGACTGACATTGCTATGGAAGGACGATATTGCTGTTACAATAGAGAGTTCTTCACGAAATCACATTGACACACAAATAGCAGTAGGAATGAACCACGTACCATGGAGATTCACCGACTTCTATGGCTGTCCGGAACGTCATCGGCGGAAGGAATCTTGGGCTTAAGAGCTTAGCAAGTCATAATGAGCTGCCATGGTTGGCGATGGGGGATTTTAATGATATTATGCATGCATATGAAAAAGAGGGCGATGTCCGCAACCACCGTGGATGATGTCGGGCTTTCGAGACGCGGTTTGGGGTAGTGATTTAATAAACTTTCCTTTTGACGGCTACCAATTTACATGGGAGAGAGGATGAGGTACGCCGGCATGGGTGGAGGAGAAGCTGGATCACGTTCTGGCTTCGGATGGCTGGATTGATCTATTTGGAGATGCTTGGGCTACGTCTGTGGTGGGTAGCAACAACGATCACCTGCCGTTGTTTGTGAAATTTACCAGACGCGAGGCTAATCGGAAGAAGAGGGGGTTTAAATTTGAAAATTTATGGTTGAGGGAAAGGGGTTGCCGCAGCATATCGGAGAGGGCCTGGAGTAGTTGCGACTACCAGCCGCTGCATGATAGGCTTCGATTTTGTGGAGAGGAGCTGGAGAAGTGGGGGAGACACCTACAACGTGGATTTCAAAGACGTATAGAGGACTGTAAAAGGAAGATGGATGAAATGAGAGGGCGGACGGATGCAGCAGGTTTGGCTATTTTTGCTAGAACAAAAGAGTGATATTTGCTGTTATTGGAAAAGCAGAATGACTTCTGGAGACAATGGGCTAAGGAATTCTAGTTACAACAGGGGGATATAAATACAAAATTCTTTCACAAATCCGTTAAACAACGACGACAAAGGAATTTGATGACGGGGCTACAATCTGACACAAATGAGTGGATCACGGATCAAGGGGCTTTGCAGGAGCTGGTATCAAATTATTTTGAGAAGCTATTCACAAAGGGGGAGGATGCTCCGTTGCAGGATATAGGCAGATTTCGAAGTATGATATCGGATAGCCAGAACATTTTATTACTATAGGATGTGACAGTAGAAGAGGTTAAGAAGGCAGCTTTTAGCATGCACCCTGATAAGGCACCAGGACCGTACAGTTTGAATCCGAGTTTTTTCCAACATTTTTGGGATGTAGTGGGGCCGAAGGTTGTAGAATTTTGCGTTAATGTTTTTCGAACAGGTCAGCTTCCAGAGGGGTGTAATGACACTACCATCGTGTTAATTCCGAAGAAGGATAAACCTCAATCTATTGGGGATTGAAGACCAATAGCTCTATGTAATGTTGCTTATAAGATATTTGCTAAGTTGCTGGCAAATCGTATGAAGAGACTGCTCGATCCAGTTATCACTGAAGCTCAGAGTGCTTTTATACCAGGTAGATCGATTTTAGATAATATTATTATAGCCTTTGAAGTTCAACATTTTTTGAAGAGGAAAACTCAAGGGAAAGAGGGATACGTGACGTTGAAGCTTGATATGAGTAAAGCTTATGATAGAGTGGAGTGGAAATTTCTGGAGATTGTTATGCAGCGGTTGGGTTTTCATAATAGGTGGGTTAATCTGATCCTTCAGTGTGTGGACACTGTTCAGTATAATGTATAGGTTAATAATGAGATTGTATGCCCCATTATTCCTACTCGGGGAATCAGACAGGGGGACCCATTATTGCCCTATTTGTTTATTTTAAACGCGGAGGGTTTGAGTGCCCTTATTCGGGAAGGTGAAGCAGATAAACACTTACAGGGGATACACATAGCTCGGAGGGCACCGACACTAACTCATCTTTCTTTTTTTCAGGGAAAATGAAGTGGATTGTATTTTCATAAAGAAGATGTTAGATAAATATTCATGCGGTTCCGGCCAGCTGGTAAATTATGACAAGTCGAGTGTTAAATTTAGTGCAAACGCGGCTTGGGATGATAGAGACTATTTGTGTAGTCTTCTTGGAGTTAAGGAGGATAGAGGTGGAGGAAAATATCTTGGTTTACCGTCACTGGTGGGGCGAAATAAAAAAGAAATTTTCGGGTATATTAAGGAAAAAGTTGTTCAAGAATTCAGAGGTGGGATAGTCGTTTTTTATCTAGAGCGGGGAGGGAGATTTTGCTGAAGACGTTTATTCAGGCAATGCCACAATACACCATGAATGTGTTTCTTCTTCCGGTTGAACTATGTGAGGAGGTGGAACGTGTCATGAATGCTTTTTGGTGGCGAGGCCATGGTTTTAAAGGAAAAGGTATAAGGTGGCTAAATTGGTCTGATTTATGTGTTCCGAAAAGCTTAGTTGGGATGTGGTTTCGGAAGTTTAGGGACTTTAATATTGCCATGCTGGGAAAACATGTTTGGAGGCTACTTAAGCAACCAGAGTCGCTTGTTAGTAAGATTTTGAAAGCTCGGAATTTTCCCAAAGATGACATGCTAGAGGCGAGTTTGGGGAACAATCCCTCTCTCATATGGAGGAGCATAGTGGCAGCCATCCCCACAGTTCGGGAAGGAGTTTTACACCGAGTGGGGGATGGCTCTTCAATTCGAGTGTGTAAGGATAAGTGGATTCTTAAGGCAATAGGGGGAGACCGGCCGGAGAATTTGTTAGCGGATTAGAGGATATCACAATTAGTTCTATAATGACGACGGACGGCAGCAACTGGGAGTGAGATATACTGAACGATTTGTTTAATGACGATGACCGGGAAGCTATCGCTACCATTTCGGTGAAGGGCTCTAAAGGGGCGGACGAACTGATATGGGCCGATGATAAGAAGGTAAGATATTCGGTCCGAAGTTGCTATAAAATACTATCCAAAAGAGTCTCAGATACTTGGGATTGGACTCAGGTTTGGAAGCTAGAAATTCCACCAAAGATGAAGGTGTTCTTTTGGCAAGCGTGTACGGATTGTTTACCATCAAAGGAGTGACTGTTGCAGCGTCGTGTACCGATCTGGCCAATCTGCAGCACTCGTGGCGTGGAAAGAGAGAGCAAATTCCATGCTCTTCGCGACTGCCCGTTGGCCAACGAAGTGTGGCGAAGCCAAAGCAAAGCATTTTTCCAGATTGGGGCAGTAACTTTTAAAGAGTGGGCTGATGTGGTTAGTACTAGATGTTCCTGCTTGGAGTTTAGTCGGTTTGTGGCAATATGGTGGAGTTTATGGAAGGCAAGAAACGAGAAGGTTTGGAAGAATAACAATTCCAGTTGGAGGGGAGTTGTGGCTTGTGGCGAGACCATGCTATCCGGATGGAGGGAAGCTCTCCTTAATCTTCAGGGGAGAAGGGGGGAGACCGCTACCGACCGGTGGCAACCGTCGAGTGCGGGTATTATAAAAATAAATGTGGATGCGGCGGTACAAGTGAATGGGGAGTGGCGGGGGCTGGGGATGGTTGCAAGGGACGAAGAGGGAAAATTTGTTGCCAACAAGAGAATAAGGGAACTGGGGAGATTTACAGTAACTTTAACGGAAGGCCTCGCTGTTCGTGAAGCATCCATTGGACGGGCCAGGCAGGTTGGCGACAAATTAATGTGGAATCAGATGCACTTTCGGTTGTCAACGGGATCACAACTTCTGATGGCATTTTGTATGAGGATGGTATCTATGCACAAATTAGACATATGATGGCAGGATTTGCTAATATAAATGTCCACTTTGTGAAGCTATCAGCGAATCGAGTTGCCCATGCTTTGACTAGGCAAGCTATTTCGGAGTCTGATTGTACTTGGGTGGGAATACCACCCGATAACATTATTGTTTTGTTGAAGAACGATTTACATTAATATAGTTATTTGTTTTCAAAAAAAAAGTGGAAAGAAATGAATAAATACTTCCAGGAAAAAACCTTATTTTCATCACAATTGCAGTTATAATAACGATTATTCAGCATTATTCAATTTTTGTAACTTTGAAATCGAGTAATTTAAAAAACATCTGGAAAAATAGAACTCAAAAAGTAAATCTGAGTTTAAAATTTGATGACAACTTCAGTACCCATTTAAAAATGAGATATCGTACCTACCATTCACTTGATTGGTCTAAAGTCCAAACATATACTATCCTCCGTTCCATAAAAGTTGCAACAATTTGACTTTCACGTTTGCCAACGCGCAACTTTGACTGTAATTATATTTATTTACGTATTAGTAAACATTAAAAAAAGTTAATATATTGGAAATTTACATTAATACAAATTTATTAATATTTTATACATAATATTTTTATTATATATATTATTAGAAAATTGTAGTCAAAGTAAGGTGTGTGAATAGTGCAGAAATTTCAATGTTGCAACTTTTATGGAACAGAGGAAGTATATCATTTTTAATTTAGACTTAAATATATATACCATTCACTTTAAAATCTTGATGGATTCATGTAAACAAAAGTATGAGATATTATGAGTATCCGTAAATCTGAGTTTAAAATTTTCATTGAATTGGCGTGGGAAACATAACAAATTGTCCAACAATTTGTTGCATCGTCAGTTCGGTCAACGATTCGCTGATTCGAGTCAAACTAGTAAACGCGTGTCATGTCCAGTTGTCTGTACAAAGTTTTTCCATAAGCAACAACAGAAAAGTGACAGTTGTTAGGTCGTTTTTTCGCGGAGTTTCTTATGTACAGCTAACTTATTATTAGCGCTCCACGTGGCAAAACAGTTGGACTCGCCGGAATCCCCACTCTTCTTCCGCACGCGAAATCGACTCGTCGGAGCCGATTGCCAACCATCGTATTCCTCGCTGGCAAGACCATGAAGCAGTTCGCCAGAACCTCGCGTTATTTAGGGTTTCATCATTTTTTTTTAAATTTTGCTTTGAGTTTCAATATTTGAAGCTCTGTTTGGAATTCGTTCCTGTTTAGGTTTTGCGGTTCAGATTTTACGCCTAATCCCAGGTAATTCCACCTTCTCTTTGTTTTTCAATCATCCCCTGCTTACTGCTGCAATTCCTTGATCTATGGTCTATGGATAATGGATTGTGTGGGTTTTGTTTCCAGCAAAAAAAGTAATCTTTCTTTATTTGGTCTTGTTGAAAGTTGCGTTTTTAATTCTTGCATTTACATGTGAATGATGGTATGAAATGTACTTCAGTACAGTTGAGAATCATTTCTTTGTTTATCTGACACAATTGAAGTCAATGGCAGAACTTCATGATTGACCCATCTGTTTTTTATTCATATTACGTAGTATTTATTGTCTTCATTGTCACTTTTGAACATGGCATGCTTTTTTGATGGTGACAAAAGACTGCAGTAGAATATCTGTTCCAATGAATACTCTCCCATATGCTTATTGGCATTTTTGAAGGATTTGTTGAGACTAGCCTGTTTCAGAAAATCTTAATGAAGACTCAAATTGGTAATATTAAGCCCTTCATGTTTGGCAGCAGCAATGCAAAAACGTTAGCACTAAAAAAAAGAACAAAACAGTCAAATCAACAGAGAATAGAGATCAACATATTTCACAATTACGTAACATAGATTAACAAAAAACAAAAATTAACACATGTATGTGGTACAATGTTGTTTAGTTGTGTTTGCCTTTGATTTTCATTTGATAATTTACTTTAAACTGCATTTATGGTTAAACTGTATTGAAATAACATGTGTGATAATTAAGATATGTATTACTTTAAGTTGATCTGAATTACTACCAAAATCCTCTTAAAATAAGCAACTATTCAATGTCAAAATGAGAAACTAACAGTTTCGGCATTCTCTAAAGTGACTTAGTTGAGATCTGTTCATTTGCCGGATCGAGGTGTAATTTTTATTAAGACAAACTGAAAGTTAATTAAATGTGACATATAACATTTTGTTTTCACTAGCAGCAGTTGTGTTTCTATAGGTGCTGAACTTGTTTAGTCAACTTATCTTTTGAACTTTGTCAGGCATCAAGCATTCAATGGATGCCGCTACTTGCTACCATTTTTGGTAATGAAACGTGTTGATATTATTGATCGTAAATTGCATAAAGATGATATTATCTGCACTCTTGACTTCTGCTGGAATCAACACGGCAGTTTGTGTGGTGTGCTTCTGTTTATATTCAGTTTTAAGGAAACAACCAAGCCTCTTCGATGTCTACTTTGGTCAACGGATTGCTCATGTACGATCGAAAAGATATGATCCCTCCTGTGGCTTTGAACGATTTGTTCCTTCTCCTAGTTGGATAGTGAGGGCATGGGAGACATCTGATGAAGAAATATCTTCTATTGGGGGGTTGGATGCTCTGGTCTTTGTCAGGACAATTGTTTTCAGGTGATCATATGCTGCTTTATATGTCTACATGAGTTTTTTCCTTATATATATTCTATAGTATTCTTAGGTTCTTCTAGTTTATAAATTACTTGAGCATCAAGACGTTGTCTAGTGAAATGAGTCTGAATTAGTCTGAATTACCTTCTTTTCCACAAATAAAACTATCTGATTATCTGATTGGAAGTCCTAGAAAACATGAAAAATTAAGAAATTAAAAAATGCATTGTCAGATATTGTCAAAAAATAAATACTTCCTCCGTCCCAAAAAAAAGAAGTCCCGCTTCAATAGTTTTTTGTTCCAAAAAAGTCAACTTTCATTTTATGTAAAATTCCTACAAAGCTAAGGGAGGGGCAATGGTTTTAGTCAATTACTCCAAATAAATTTTGAAATAAGATTTAAGTTTTAGGGACATGTCATACGTGTGACCATTTAAAATTTACTCTGTAAAAGCTTGTTCCTTGATTGAGTTGATCAGTTGACTAAAAATAAATAGTTGTACCTTACTCAAATATGACTCTTTTTGGGATAGGTGCAGATTGTAATCTTTTGGTGCCAAACCCTCATATCTATTATTTTGAAGCCCCATTTAATGGTTGATCTGTTTCATAAAATACAAAATCTCTTAGCTTTCACTGTTGTTGCTTGAAAGTGCCAAAGTAAAGAATGGATATTGTGACGATATATTGATATTGCTAATAGTTGAGAATAATATATCTTTGACAGTTCAACTTTTCTTTGCTGCTGCTTTTTTTGTAGTCTCCGAATATTCTCCATTGCTGCTATTTTGTGCCTTTTTGTTGTGCTGCCACTTAACTACTATGGTCAAGAGGGGAAGCATACACGGTTTCACTCAGCGACGTTGGAGCACTTTACCATTGAAAATGTTAAGGAAAGGTCAGAATGGTAAGAATTATGTAGTACAGAGTATATAATACAGAGTATATTTATCGGGACATCATGTTCTCTTCCACCACAATTCTTACAAAAAGAGGTGTTTTTTTCCGGTTGACTATCAAGTGGATGAAATTATAATGCTGCGTAGATCAGAGTCTAAAATAAGTTTTCCGGTTGCTATTTTTTATTACCGTAGCCTGCCAATTTAAGAATCTTATCTAGTTTTGGCAGAACCCCACTCATATATTACAAATTTTAATTATTCTACTTTTTCTTTATTTTTATTCTAAAAATGTTTGTACTGCAATGGATTTGATTGTGTTTGCTTCTTCTCAGGCTTTGGGCACACTGCCTAGCATTATATGTCATAACATGCTGTGCTTGTCTTCTTCTTTACTTTGTAAGGATGGATATGGGCCCTGTTAATACTCACGGTTAATATTTATTCATGACATATCTGTTTTCTCATCAATGAAGTTGTGCCTCGTGTTTTTAGGAGTTCAAAAACATCACGAAGATGAGGTTGACCTACATTGCTTCATCTGTCTCGAACCCAAGTTATTTCGCAATTCTTGTTCGTGGCATTCCACGTTCTCAGGATGAATCATACAGCTCCTATGTCACAAAGTTCTTTACAAACTACTATGCACCAAGTTATTTATCTCACCAAATTTTATATCGGTCAGGTGCTGTTAAAAAAATGATGGTAAGAATTTGGGCTTTGCATATTATAAATCCGGATGTACCATGATAACTGTACATCCAACATATGCAAATGAGTATTTTAAAGGAACATCAACAATCTCCGTATGCAAATGAGCATTTTAAGAAGAAAATGATAAAAAAACACGAGGAAATGAACATCCTTCAGAGGAAAAATGAGAAATAATAAAAACATTTACAAAAACGCACTGGATATACGTGCATTTGGATGTACTATATATTTACAAAGAATCTGACAAAATTTTCTGTTATTTTCTCTAAATATCAAATCAATTGGTCTGGAGATCAAATAATTGTTCAAGTTAACAGACACTATTTTCAATGTGTGTGATTGGAGGGAACCGTTAGTTGTCATTAAAACACCTTTGGGTTCATAGAAAGATTGAAGATGATGGATAGGGGACGCTTATATATAAACTTGATATGGAAACTTGAACTGTTTTTGTGATAAAATGGAAAAGAAACAAAAAACATAAAACCAGGTGTCCTTTTTTGTTACTTTCTGTGAATTGATACTTGGTTCTTTCTGTCATGTACAGACTGATGCGGAAAATCTGTACAAAATGCTCAAATTATCTGCTAAGGATCAACAATGTGACTCAAATTTATTTAGATGTGGCTTTTGTGGTACATCATCTTCTTTTAAGATGCTTTCTACTGATCCTGAAATTCAAAAAGGAACAAGTGGTTTTGGTGATTCAGAATGGAGGAATAAGGTCATAGACATATGCTTGTGATTTGTAGTGATAGCTGATGTTTTGGGTTCATAGAATGCACATTAAAACACTGATGAACTAGCTTTCTTTTTATTTGTCACTTTTCCCTTCCTCCTTTTGACCCGGAAATATATCTTTCATTACTAAAAAGATCACTAATTCAAGTACATATGTGTGATTGTGTGTGTGTTCTGTGTACGTTCACCATTAGAGCTCTACTCTTGTAGGTTTGTATCTTCACTGGCACTTTCATCTTGCATATTGGTATTGCCGGTTGGTAGTTGTTTCCTTCACACATAGTCAAGCTGCATTAATATTTTTATGCTTGATAATAGTTTAGTTAGATAGGATTTGTAAAATAGTTAGTTCTTTAGTGAATTAGTTATTCTTTATTGCTCCATCCGTTCTTAAATGATACAAAATACTATGGACGTTTGTAGACATTGAAAGACAATTCTGGAAAAGGACACTTATTTGGAAACATGGTTTTCTCTATAAGACAACAATTATTAAAAAATGGTGAGACTATTTATTAACACATGAGTCATAATTAGTTATTTAGTCAATTAGGTATTCTTAGTTATTGGTGTATTCTGGGATCCCTTTTACTAAGCGAAGTGAGTTTTGAGTTAAAAAATTACTCAACACTTTGGAATCTGGGATCTCAACAAAATTCAACTTTTCCCTTCCTCCAGGCTGTCATTTTTCTTGTTTCCATCATTTGTCAAATTTTATCTGGTAGCCAATACAGAGTTACAGACAGCAGACATGCATGATCTGGCTACATACTTCCCTCTTGCAGGAATGTGCAGCTGCTTTGGTTTTTTTCAAGACTCGGTATGCAGCATTGGTGGCATCACAGGGTATTCAATCTCCAAACCCCATGTTATGGGTGACAGACCGTGCTCCAGAACCACAAGATATGTATTGGTCTAACATTTGCGTACCCTATAGGCTCCTTTGGATCCGTAAAATAGCTATGCTTGTGGCCTCTGTATGTTTTGTGATATTCTTCCTTGTGCCCGTCTCTCTAACACAAGGACTTGTTCATCTTGATAAGCTACAAAAGGCATTTCCGTTTCTGAGAGGACCATTGAAAAGGTACAATTCCCCTCTCCCAGGGATATACTACCTTCGTTCCACTAAAATTGGGACATGGGAAGCGAACGATTATTAAGAAAATTGGATTTATGTGGTCGATATTGAATTTGTTAAGTATGAATGAATTTAAACCACAAATATTATAAAAATGGGGCAAACTTAATGGAATGGACGAAAAGGGAAAGATGTGGTGATACGGAGGGAGGAGTACATAAATGAATAAATGATGCTATTTCTAGGTTATCAAGTAGTGTATTAATCGTGTGCAGCCCGGGAGTTGGAATCCAAAGATCATGCAGTGGTGAATAAAACTTTAACATAAAATCTCGTGTTGATATTACATACGAAATTACATGAAGATGAGGATTCAGAATAATGGATTGATGTTGGATGATTTAATGTTTTTGCACTCTAGCGGTATCCACACGCACATGATGGATCGCCTGCAGATTGCATGCTAGCGCTCCTCTCTCTTGTACACATGATCAAATCGTGTGTGTGTTTATGGACTAAAACTGTTTTTCCTTTATTGTTTGAACTGTTTCTTAATTTGTTTCACATTTACTTGTTACAGGAACTACATTAAACAGCTTGCTACTGGATATTTACCCAGTGTTGTACTTGTATTGTTTTCGTACTTGGTTCCTCCACTAATGATGCTATTCTCGACAATGGAGGGTTCCATCTCTCGCAGTGGCAGGAAGAAGAGTGCATGTGTTAAAATTGTATACTTTATGATTTGGAATGTTTTTTTCGCCCAGACGATTTCAGGCTCCGTTATTGATGGATGGAGTGCTATTGATCATTTGGGTAAAAACCTAAATGACATACCTAACCTGCTCGCTACAGCAGTACCACAAACGGTACATCTCTCTCATAGTTGTTGGCTCTATACGGGCATTATATATGTGTGTGTTTTAAAAAAAATAAACAAATTAAAATACATGCACACACAAGGTTCTATTCCAGTGAGACTACATGTTATGGGTGAAATAGATCAAATACAATAGAGTCACTGCATTTTTTTATGAAATTTGATCTATTTCACCCATAACATGTAGTCTCACTGGAATAGAACCTTGTGTGTGCATGCATTTTAATTTGTTTAGAATGGCGTTCCTGTCAGGCCGGCCTGACAGGACCTACCGTCTGGCCAAGCCCGTTTAAGGGGCTTCCGTGTCGAATTTTTTGATGAAACTTTTTGAGCATGTTCTCCATTTAGTGTAGATTATCTCAACAAAATTTCAGCTTAAAAATTGACCGGGAAGTCAATTAAATAAATTATTGAAAAACACTATGCTCTTTATATATATGTGTGTGTGTGTGTGTGTGTGTGTATAAAGAGCACAGTGTTTGTAAATGAAGAGAAAAACTAAGCCATTTTCTCGCCCAAAAACCGGATCAAAGTGGATCAAAGCGGGTCAAGCGTAACTGCGTAAAGCAACCATTTTATTACGGAGTATAATGTTGATTACTATTCAGTTTTTCAGAAGTATTGATGCAATTCAATGGTCGTTCAAGTTCTGACAGCTTTTTAAATTTGGTTCACTTAACGATGAAAGCAAACGTCTTCAATTAAAGTGAATTGCCACATTAAAATCATTTAAGGTCTTTTCAATATTTTCACGCACCCCAATACATAATTACATACTTCCTCCGTCCCAAAAACAACTTCACAGTTTGACTAGCACACATATTAAGGAAATAAATTTACTGGGGGGTAAATTTTACTGTTTGGACACTGTTTAGCACTGTTTGGCACTGTTTTGATGTAGATAATTTGCCAAATAAGGAAGTGAGAAGAAGTGTGAAGTTAATTTTGGGACATCCATTTAAGGAAAGTGGGAAGTTGTTTTTGGGACGGAGGGAGTATATAATACGAGTATACGGAGTGTATACACACACACACATACACACTCCAAATGTCCACATGGCAAGCTTCACTATTAGGGAATAGATATTTTCTACTTGGTCTTTTTTATACTCCGTATTTATTTAGTTGAAAACAATTCTTCTTTGTGGCCAAATTAATAAGATGCAAAAAATGGCATTAAATGGCACAGCGTGCATTGTAATATGCATTAAATGTCCACATGGATGTTGTTGTTGTATGATATATAAAGATCAAACACGATTATGAGTAGATATAGTCATTAGTTTTCTTATGCTCTGTCTTTTCGACATTCTAGTTTACATTACTTTGATCAAAAGTTATTATATACGTAGTATTCCTTTTGTCCCACAAAAAATGCAAATATATTTAAAGGTTCACTGATTAAAATCTTACAACCTTGCTATTAATATCTTGTAGTAGTGTCGAAAATTATAATTTACATACATAAATACTACACAAAAAGTTGTATGGAATTGTAAAAATCAAATTAGTTTAAAAAAAATTAATATTCAAAATCATAGAATAAAAAGAAACTGCATTGACTAGAAGAAGTAAAAATTTAAATCTTATCAAGATAGATGGAGTATAATTTAAAGTAAAAGTATCCTTATGATCCGTGCATCGAACTGGTGAAAATATAGTTTTAAGCTTAAAATGTAATCATAATGTGCATGGGTAGAGCCTTACATTGGAATGTTTTGCGTAAAGGTCAAGATGGTAAAATCAAGAAGTTACAAATGGCTGCTTCTTGATTTGGGCTTTGTCCTCTGACAAGCTCATTGTTTCTGTTCTAGTCACTCTTGACAAACGACATATTCAAAAAGTTACTATTTTAAACACTTCAGAACTATATATCACAAAACAACTATCCAAATACTTGATCAAAACACCCTTGTGTAACCACACCTTCTCCGAACAAAGAAAAGTTATGAACACACATCATTTTCATACCAAAACGTATGCTTCCAAAAGTATCTTATTTTAGAAGAAGAAAGCACAACTAATAACAACTTAACATTCTTTGTTTGCAATATTATCCTAGCTGCATTTCATTGACACAACAGTGATCCCCCTCTTAATGGAGTGCATTCTTGCAATATCTCCAACTATTTCAACAGTTCAATATCTTTGCAGGCTACATTTTTCATTACCTATGTGTTGACATCAGGCTGGGCGACTTTGTCCATAGAACTCTTGCAACCATTTGGTATTATCTGGAGCTTTTTCTATAAGCCCTTTCTGAGTAACAAGAAAGGTTCATCTTATGGAACTATGACTTTCCCCTACCATACTGAACTACCAAGAATTCTACTCTTTGGGCTTCTGGGATTCACATGTGCTATACTGGCACCTCTAATCTTGCCCCCTTTGTTAATTTACTTTTCCCTTGGTTACCTCGTGTACCGTAATCAGGTATGTCTTGGTTTCTATTTTTTTAGAGCAACACTTGCATGAGGCCTGAGAGACTAATCACTATTCAGCTGAAAACTACTGCGCGATATTTATTGGCTAAAAGACCACTTGCATAATGATCGGTTTTCACAACCGATAGTTTTTAGTCCAAAAGTAATAGACTTGAGTGAAAAGGGATGGGTCTCACAAGTTTTTTTTGTGTTCTTTCCCATTACTGCTTGATAAATCACAAACGTCTCTCTGCCCAACCATAACCTTTTGTATTTTTTAATTTCTCAGATTATCAATGTATATAGAACGAAATATCAAACTGGGGGACTGTACTGGCTTCTTGTGCATGATGTTAGTATATTTTCACTGGTGCTCGCTCAAATAATAGCATTGGGAGTCTTTGGGACAAAAAAGTCAACAGTGGCCTCAGGATTTACTATACCATTGGTAATCTGTACGCTCCTTTTCAATCAGTATTGCAGGCAAAGGTTTCATCCCATATTCAAGAACAATCCTGCACAGGTAGATATGCAATTGGATATTGTCTTTTAATATTTTGACATGTTTCCTGTTGATTTCACATTAGTAGTCTTGTAACGTGACATAGACTATGGCAACTATCTCAATTCATCGTCATCTGTTGATATTTTTCATGCGTGTGGGAAAAAACTATGTTTATGACAGTTTCTAGTAGTCCAAGTTAGACTACAATATAGGAAGCAAAACATAGGGGGAAAATACAAGAGATGTGCTAAAACTGATTTTACTTATTTTAGATATTTGTTGATACTCATTTTTATTTATTTATATATCTATTGTGTAGTGACTAAGAAATCATAAAACATGCATTAAAAAACTAAAACACCACATTTTTTCCTTTGCACGTTCCAAGTTGAAACAAAGAATAAAAAAATTACTTTATCTAATTGTTTTCCCTTTACCTAGCATTTTCTGTGATCTGAATCCCATATGCTGGCATGGGAAGGGTTACTAGAAGCTTGCATAGTCAACATCCTATGTGTCTGCCTCATCAGATGCCAACATATTCTACTTTCATAAAAAACTCAGTTTGACGCTGCACTCAAGTTTCATAAAATTTATGACTAAATAGACAATTTTTGAAGATTTTGGACACGTCACACATTTTCTCAAATTATATTTTCGGTCAGTAGTGATGATTAAGTTGGGTGATGAATATGTGGTGAATGAAGAAATTGGTTTGTAATTTTTCAGATTCTTATGGTGTATTTGCTTGCAGGTCCTTGTTGACATGGACCGACAGGATGAGGAAAGCGGTAAGATGAAAGAAATCCATCAAAAAGTGATTTCATCTTATTGTCAATTCCAAGGCACTTCACTCGCACTGGTTAACCCTGTGGCTCCAAATCCCAGTGAGAACATAGATACTCCAAAAATTAAATGCAGCTCTGAAGAAGGCATTGATCCAGGTTCAAGTGATTCACTCGTCAAATCTATCACTTTGAATAAATTTGTGTCACATTTGGGTTGGCTTCAAATTCCCTGGAATTCAGTGTTAAGCCCATGCTGGGATTTGGAAAATCTTTAAACTTACTGATTCCTAAGGCATCTGAAATTAAAGTGGGGAGCGTACAGTGTACACACTCCATTTTGTCTGTGTCGGAGACAACTTCTATCCATTTTTAAATGATGAATTTCCTGGGACAATTTTTTATTTTCCAAATTTTGTCAGTGTCACTGACAATTCGTGTTAAAAATGATAAATATTGTCTGTCACAAATACAAAATGGGGCGTGTACAACAAGTTTTCATTTGAAATTCTTGGAATTATAGTTGGCATATGACACATGCCTCCATCAGATCTTTGGGTTTTGCGCAATTCCACGGATTTAGGTGAGAAAAATGCTTGGTGTATACGTTTTTGGTGACCACCTTTGGCACACATGTCTGTCTATGCAGACAGAGTTGTCTGTATACAGACAACTCTATTGAGCCAAAGGTATACACCAAAAACGTGTACACCAAGCACGGGTCTTTAGGTGAACTGTCATTCCGGACTGGACATGATTTATCATTTCAGTTTCCTATAATAATTCAACTTCGGCCGCTAAATCAATTCAAACGAGGCCTAATTAATTAATTTGAGTATATGCTAATGTGCACTTAACAGTATCACACTTTGTTGGTTGCAGCCATGCTACCTACCCATCCATCCGACCTACCTGGAGCATGTGTTGGACTCCCATCATTGGAAATTGAAGAATTGCATACAAAGTAGATAAAACAATATTATACATTTCACCAAAAAAAGATTACCCAAAAAACAACACCATGCTTGGAAACTTGATATACGAGGAAGCATGCTGTTCTCTGTATTTTTTTCAAGAAGTCGTCATCTCCTAGAAATGGAAGAATTGTAGGAAATGGTTCCTTGTGTATTTTATATTAAATTCTCACCTTTCGATGGGAAATTCGAAAGGTTTGATAGCTGCAAAGTATATATAGAATACAAGAAGTTCCGTAGGCTTTGGGTACTCACCCTGCTCCTCTAGGTTTTGTTTGTACACAGATATACACATTTTCCAGTTCTGTAAAGATGTTACCTGTATATGAAATGAAGCTCAGTTATATATGTGGGAAATGCAGGGAAGATATTTATATATTTATATGGGAACCATTTTTGTAGTGCAGTAGTGGTGTAACAATATAAGCAATATCAGCCATTCAGCCACATGATAGAAATGACAATTTTTTCTTAAGTGAATGGAACCATCAAGGTGGGAATGTACACGGGATAGACGTGTATTTGACGCAAGAAATGAGTTCTAATTTTAAGACCAGTAGCCCTTTGAATTCTGCTTGTATAATGTCTTTTTTGGGATTGATGTGAAATGCAATCATACTTTTTTGTATTTTATCAACTCTATACTAACTATATATATCTCTACTTTTTAATAATTTTATCACTTCCTCTTGTATCAATTTTAGAGAAACAAAAGTAACATTTCGTATTTACTTTTCAAATTGGATGTTTTACTCAAACTCATGTGTGAGGATTCATAAAAATTTACTAGGCAGACAGCCAGGTTGCTATCAACAAAATACAATTCCTTATTAAGTACGGAGTATTATAATTCTTAAATTAACCTTGAATGATAAGAAATCAGCAAATTTTATTTGAAACATTGATATTGAATGAGATATCTCGATTTAATTGGAGAGAAAATGAGTTTGTCTCGAAATTAAAAGACATGGTTGTGACTTGGGGAGTCATGTGACTTGTTTCTAGTCTTTCTAAATTGTATGACCCACTCAAAAATTACAACGAAAATGTCTGCAACTCATACATGTTATGTGTATATGTTACAATAAATTTAAAATTAGAATAAATGTTTGTATGCATGTATATTAGTATATGTCTCTATGTGTATTATTCTCTATGTATATATGTCATATGTGACACTTTCTTTTTCTCATTTTCATATTGCAGTTTTCCTCCATTTAATTTTCCTTGTCTTTATGCAGCACTTATTTTACCATCTACAAAAGTATTGTGTTTTATTATTATTCCCCATGTCACACAAAATTTAGGACATACACATTATTAAAAAATAAGCATAAAAATGATTTTTGTGTTTGAGATTGGTTGTGAATTTGTGATACCATAGATGATTATGGCTTTGAACAAATGAAATGGGTAATCAACATGCATGAAACTAAAGGACATTAGAAGATTGAACCGGATGTATAGCTTTTTTAATCCAAAATTGTATAAAGTCTCAATGGAATCAAATCTATCTATTCAAAGTGTAAATAAAAGTAAGTAGTCTGACACATAGGTGTATCGCATAGGTGTATCTAATGTGCAGTGGCGGAACTAGGGAGCGAGCCGGTTCCGCAGCCCCCATTCACCGGTGGCGGTAGTGTATATATATATATATGTGTGTGTATACATCTCAGTTCCGTTTGTTCAAAGATGTACTTCCTCCGTTCCATAAAAGTTGCAACATTGTAATTTCTGCACTATTCACACACCTTACTTTGACTACGATTTTCTAATAATATATATAATAAAAATATTATGTATAAAATATTAATAAATTTGTATTAATGTAAATTTCCAATATATTAACTTTTTTTAATGTTTACTAATACGTGAATATATATAATTACAGTCAAAATTGCGCGTTGGCAAACGTGAAAGTCAAACTGTTGCAACTTTTATGGAACGGAGGATATTATATATTATAGCCCTGCGGTGAAATATGAAGGTTATTTCTGACCGTTCGATTGGAAGCTACGCTGTCATGGGCGTTTTATTTTTACAATTTTGCTATAGGTTCCCCAAATATATACCCCATTTGTGCCCCATATAAAAACCCTCGCCCACTTTTCTCCTCCATCCCCTCCCCTTTCTTTGTCTTTTCTCTAAATTTTGATTTCTTCTCCTTTCAAGATCTTTCCCATTTTTTAAGACTTCTAATTTTTACTACCTTTCCCCCTCCAACCTTGTTCTCCTACTTCTCTTGCGCCTTTATTTTTTGTTTCAAATGCAAGAGATACAGTAATCAGACGAACTGGGAGAGCTCGATGACCAAGAAGCAACGACGAATGTGCAGACCAAGAAGTTTTGAATGACTTGAGCAGATCTTCTTTTCTTGATTTTGTTTTCGATTTTGTTTTCTTGATTTTTTGGTGTGTTTTCGAAATAAAAAAGGGTTGTCTGTCTGACAGATAACTTGTAAGTGCAATGTTTGTATACTCAAACATGGTTTCATAGTTGGTGAAACCTTGTACTAAAATGTCTGTCGCACAGACGACTCATTTGTTTGTCTACATAGAACCATTGTCTTTATGCACATGCAAGTATTGGTATAACTGTATTTTATAGTAAATTTTGATGAGTTTAGTAATTGTTAATGAGGTTATATAAAAGTGTTCGGAGATATGGTTGTATTTGTTAATTTACAAATGAATTTGGTAAAAACAAAACGTGTATACTATTGTCTGTGTGGACATACAAATTAATGTGTTGTGTTTTGCATTGTTTTGAACATGTATATTTGTTTGGAATAACAAATGAAGAGGAAAAAATAGTTGTATTAAAGGTCCCGATGTTGGTATGAAGTTCCCTAGTAAAGAAGCAGTTTAAATAAGTCTAAATGATTCATGTGAATGATTAGACATGTGTGAATGATAAGTGGTTGGACTTAAACCTTAGTTTGTTGTGATTAACAATTGTATGTAGTTTTGAATCAACCATTTTTAGAAAACTGAACATTAATTTCCTGTACTAACGCAATGTGTGAATGATAAAGAGTTGGATTGAAACATTAGTTTGTTGTGAATTACCACCGTTGGCATTAAGTATACACATGCAGACAATAAGTTTACACATGTAGACATTACTTTGTTGTGAATTACCATTTTTGGCCTGTTTCGTAAAATAGACAGACAATACATATATCTAGACATACAATAAGATAACCAGACAGACATTATTTTTATGCAGAGAGACAATAACTTACACATGTAAAGATACCCAGACAAACAAAAGATCAACATACATAAGTGGATAATTGTACATGTAATGTTTGCAGAAACTTACACATGTTCAAAAAACTTAATCCAAATGTTAAACATTTCACAACATTGAATATGCAAAACCGACACATTTCCCCAACACTATGCTTCAGCATTCTTAAAATGCCAAAACCCAATAGCAAATTCAAGTCTTTTGTTCGACATGTTGTCGTAGTCATAATCAGGAAGCAATAACTTTTCTAGTAGCAGCTGCTCTGCAAATGATAGGACCATGATGCCACATTCTCCGGATTTGTAGACATACAAATAAAGCATAAACAGACATTTAGAACACTTAACACAAACAATACATGTAATGCAAAAAAATATTGAGTTTACTACCATGCTTGCTATTGAGGCACACCCTCTACCGCTACACCTTCCCATGGTTGGACATCAGTTGCATGAAGCAGGTAGAGTAGCCGCACACACAAATCTCTAACATAAGATGGACTCCTACAAGTCTTCATAGTCATAAACTTTAATCAATCTACTTTCAAGGACAACTTTGAAGATAACTAATTAAATCTCAAAAAACACACGCCACAACTTACATACAACTCACAATCAAATGACAGACAACTAAATCTGAATTGCATACATGTATTTTTAAAAGAAAAAATTCCAGTTTTGGTCCCATGACTATTATACCACTTCCACATTTAGTCTCTTACTTTCAGATTGTCCACATTTAGTCCGTGACCATTATCCATTCACCACCCCTCGTCCTTCCTGCCAAAATTCCGGCAAATTTAGTCCACTTATCAGCCTTAGAATCAGTCTTTGCATTAAATTTTATATAAGGTTGGGTTTTTCATATCACTCTTTGCATTAAACTTGGTTTTTCATACCTAAAATCTGCATTAAATTTGCCGGAATTTTGGCCGGAAGGACGAGGGGTGGTGAGGGGATAATGGTCACGGACTAAATGTGGACAATCTGAAAGTAAAGGACTAAATGTGGAAGTGGTATAATAGTCACGGGACCAAAAGTGGATTTTTTTCATTTTTAAAATGACAGACAACTTCACGACTCTTACAAACCCTCACAACAACATGACAAACAAGTCATTATAGACAACGTAACTCAAAACAAATACAGACAACTAAAAAGCAAATGACAGGCAGTAAAATACCAATTACAAATCCGGAGTATACAAACAATGCAATTATAAGTGGTCTGTCAGACAGACAACTCTTTTCATTTTGAAAACACACCAAAAAATCAAGAAAACAAAATCAAGAAAAGAAGATCTGCTCAAGTCATCAAACGTACTATAAAATACATTTGTAAAATAAGAAGATGTGCATACATACAGTTGTTTTATGTACTCAAACAAATAAATTTGTCTGTCCAAATAGACATCTTATGTAAGACTCTACCAACTATCTTACCATATTCAGCTAGTCAGATGATGCACTTCAAATTTGTTTGTCAGACATATAACCCTTTTTCATGTGGAGTTTGGATGAAATGAATACCAACAAATGAGGAAAAAAGACCATCTCAAGTCTTTCAAGACTTCAATGTTCAGACCTTCGTCCTCTTCTTCCCCGATGTATTCTATTATCATATAATTATATTTGACATTACTTTTTGTCTCCTCATCAATTATAATTATAAATTAATGTCTCCACATAAATGAGTTTCTGCCAAGTTAATATGTATATATATGGTCATAAATGTGAAGACATTGAGATATTTTTAATTGGATTGATTCCACTCTCATATCAGACCAAACTCAAATATCTTAAATCAGAACAGATTTAGATAGATCAGGACATAACAAACCATACTTAAGCAATAGTGAAATATACACTTATCAGACGTTTATCAGACCAGATTTAAGTAGACTGAATCAAAATTTATAATCTTCATAAAATTATACTAATAGATGTTATTTAGGATGTTTAGGATTTAATATACACATGTGAATGACATTTAGGATGTTTTTAATTTAACTGATTTTGATTCAAATAGATGTAAGCCAATCACTTCAGATAGATTAAATTTAAAAAATACTAAGGCTATGTTTGGCACCCATAAGTCCTTGCCTTCAACTTTTGTACTACTTAAAAAATCTTTAAAAGC